AACTCGGAATCCCTGGTTCGCCTAGACCGTCCGGTCCAGGTCGAGACCGTCCGTTCTAGGGTTGCAGGATCGCGAGAAAGAAGATGACCTCAGACCGTCCGGTCCAATTTTCCAGACCGTCCGGTCTGAAACCCTCAGACCGTCCGGTCCAACTTTCCAGACCGTCCGGTCTGACAAATGATGAGGATCGGTTAGAATCCTTCCCTCCGTACACATACGATGAAGACGAATCATCGGAGGACGACGAAGACTTTATGAAACACGTTTTGCCCGACTGTTCGGGTACAGGCGTCAAAGGAATCAAGATTAGAGAACCTACAGAGATGCCCGGACCTACACCGAATCCGAAACTCGGGAAAAGAAAAAGCATGAACGGCAAGGAGAAAGCAAAAAGACGGCCCAAGAAACCAAAGGCTGACCTGTCAGCTATACAGTTCCCGAGCGAACTCCCTGAGCCGATGAAGTCGATAGTGATTGGGATGAACGGGACTGATGTAAGGGAGGTCGGGAGAAAGTCATTGACGTTCACCGATCTCTCCACGAATCATAACCGTTTGACGATTCCGACGGGATCTGCACCCGATTTCCTGACGCCGGAAGAGAAGGACGTTTTGGAGGCGCATAGTAAAATAAAACGGCCGCAAAAAAGGCCCAAAAACATCGTCCTTGTGATCGATCCGTTGGGGAATGTTTACGACTCGAACTTCAGGAAGTGGACGATGGGTAGCGATTCGTACGCGTGGACGACATGTTGGAACGGATTGGTGGCCGCTAATGGATTGAAAGAAGAAGACGTGATACAGGTTTGGACGTTTAGGAACGGATCGGGCGAGCGTTGTTTCGTTATCGTCGTGGTGACTAGAAAGGAGGGGGATCCCTCTCCCTCGGAGAGCCAAAACTGCGAGGCGTCTTCGTCTGGTATCAAGGACGGCGAAGCGTCTACCTCGGGAGTCACGAACAGCGAGGCGCCTTCGTCCAATGAGAGCGAAGGAATCATTATCGATGAAGAGAAGCATAAAGACGATGAAACCATGGCAGCTGCTGAAGAAACATCCGAGACCACAACCCAACCCATGGGCACTGATAAGTAGAGATGGCTCAATAAAACCATGACAATATTACCGTCACCATATATTTTTTTTTTGGTTTAGGTTAATTTGTTTTTTTTATGGCTTTATTTTAACAATTTGATTCTTAATGAACTTTTTTATTTTACGATTACTTTAATACTTTAAGATGTTTTTATTAAGTGTGGGCACCGTACCGAATCAAAAAATGCAGTATTTTTTCCAATCCAAATGGTCCAAAATTCAGGAACAATATAAATTTTAGAAACCGAATTTTTTGAAATCGAACCGAATTTTAAAAAATTCGAAAAAAATCGATTTTTTTAAGTTCTATTTTTTTTTGTTTATTTTAACAATTAGATTCTTAATGAACCTTTTTATTTTACAACTCTAAGATGTTTTTATATTGCATTTTATTTTTTTTGGTATAAGAACTAAATAATCCATATAAATCTCACATCATTTATTCACCGATTTTATTAAATACCCAATTTTTAACAAAAATAATCAATCACATGATAAAAATTGAACACCAACTTAATCAACCGGTTAACATATATATAGTTTGAAATTTACATTATCCTCTCCATCATGTCATAATCACTATTATTATGTAAAAAAAATTGTTTCCTTTTTTAAATTGTGGTTTTGGCTTCTTTATTATATTAGAAGTCATGTATTTTATAATTGGAACTTCTAAAAAAATTATTTATTTATTTAAATTCTTTAATTATCCATCATAACAATAACTGTTTTTTACTGGACACATTTTTTTACATGATATTTTATCTTATGAAAAAATCCATAAAAAAATAGAAAAAATATCTGAAAATTCCTGAACTTGTAATTTGGTGTAATATTAATTCATAAACTTGTAGGTGCGTTTATTTATTCCTGAACTTGCATTTTTGAACATAATAATTTCTAAATTTGCTTAACAGTTGCTTAACAGTTCCATAATCGTCCATACCATTTATTGACCAAAGTAAAATTTAGGAATTACTGTGTTCAAAAATAAAAGTTTAGGAATTATTGTCTACAAAATTACAAGTTCGAAAATAAATAGGCACAACTATAAGTTAAGAAATTAATATTACACCAAATTACAAGTTCAGGAATTTTCATATCTTTTTTCCAAAAAACATTAATTTGTAAAATGGTGAAATTTGTTTTAACATTTTCGCTTAACAAATTTATTCTCAAACTTGCAAAATAAGTTATTATAATTAACAAACGCGTTAATTGGTGTTTAACAAAATCTCGACAATATTGATTCAATTCAGTCTCACAATTATAATGACACATTTTACAACTTTAAAAATTATAATGACATATTTTTGTAAATTTAGAAATAAATTTTTTAAACTAAAAGTGAAAAAATTTATTTTTAATCGTTTTACAAATTCAAGTCTAGGTTTTTTTATGGTTTTACCTTCTTTTTTTATTCTATACAAAAATTTCGAGGCGGTGATTCGCGATTCCTTTGAAGAGGTTTGTTTGTTTTTCACGTCTCCTCTCCTCTGATTCGATCGAGAATTTCATGAAATTAGGGTTTTATATTTGCCGTCCCTAATTGTTTCAGTCCTATCTTTCCACCTCTCGCGTAGGCAAAGAAACCAGCTCTCCATAGTATATGCACAACCTTTGAATCTTGTCTTACTTCTTGATAAGAAACACCGACTATCGATACTTAGATCTTGAAGTGTAACGTCTGTCGACCCAAATTGCATTTACGTTTAATTTCGTCCCAACTTAACTTTCTTGGGTGACGCCATCAGCGCATGATGGTGTAACAGGGATTTGTCACATGATGGCGTAGTTAGTGTAGGAGAAGTGCATCACATACGTGCAAGCATGATGGCCACTTTTAATGATTTAGGTCGAAACATCCGTATGTCGTCTACAATGGATCGACATAGATCTCCGATGTAGGTACCCACCAATGCTTTTTGGAGTCCAACCATGAACCTTGAATAGCTTTCCAAAGTCTTGTTGTTAATGTTACAAGTTGTTGGATTGTCTTATCTTAGACAATGCTTCATTAATATCTTCATATTCGGGTGGTCTAAAGCGGATCCAAAGTTCTTCAACGTGCTCCCAATTACGGTTGCTCCATCCTCTTCATGTTTTTGCTTGAGGGCTTACCACTACTCATTCGCTTCATCGTCAAGATGATATGAAGCGTATTGAATCTGGTGGATTGCATGCATGGGTATCTTGGTAGCTGAAGAATTATTTGGTTTTGCTGAAACATATGGTAGGATTGCCTCCAACAAAATGTTGAAATTCAAATTTGATAGGATTCAATCGGAATATGGGATTGATAAAGTTGGTTCAAATGGTAGAGTTCAGGTTATAGGACGTTCTGGTTGCTTTCTACGATTAGATGAGTTCTTGGTCGGTGTTTAAGAAAAGGATTTGGTGAGACGATTGATGGATGTTTGGAGGAACTAAAATTGTTCGACAATGGCAGTTTGATCCGAGCAAGCTCGTTGTTGACGGTTGGTAGCTCAGTTTCAATATTCTTGATTCGTTTCTTGTTGGTTGTCATTGTGATACCACCGTTGGCTGGTCCAGATCAACGAGAAAAAAAGAAAGTAGGGCATAGGCTCAGATACCAATAATGACATCTATCAGAAATGAAAGATTAATAGAAAGTTTTAGTAGAAAAATCCCTGCTCTATTCATCATAAACCTCAAATGTTCATTAAATAACAAAGGAGAGAAACAAACAGATCACTAATATGATCCTAAAAAATAGGAAACTACGTAAAATTGGAGATCACTCCAGTTTTTTCAAGGTAGTGGTTGTATAGCGGTTTAATCAACATATATTGGATTCGGTTTCTTGAGCCAAACAGGTAGAGAGGTGTCGATAACCGGATGAGATGCATCAAAGGTAAGCTTCCCTTTCGTTTGCTCTTTTCTCGTTCATCCTTTTGAACATCTGTCTCTCATATCCTGCCACTAACCATAATCATCAGACTATTATGGTAAATTTTATCATTCGGGTGAAACGTTTTGAGTGGGATATAGATTACTACATCCCCAAGTACCGGGGAGAGCTTACCATTACTGCGATCAACTGCATCCCAATGGTTTCGGGGTTTGATTCCATATCGGTTTGGTGCAGCTTCTAGTCCTTACCCCATCCAGCTGTGGTTAGAGATTTCTCATATCCTGCAGTTAACCATAATCATTAGACTATTATGGTAAATTTTTCCATTACATTTTTTGGAAAAAATATATTATTGATCTATTAGAAATAAAATTATCGCAACACAACAATGAAAATAAAATGTTGGAAAAAAAAGACTGAGAGTAAACTTACTTCCATCAAATTCATTTCATGTAAATGTCCGCCGTGTTTTCCACCATCTCTTCTTTTCCGTCGACTTTACTCTGCCATATCTCCTACGCTTTCTTCTCCGCTGCCGATTCCAAAGCTCCCATTTTCTTCTATCACATCTCCACCGAACCCTAATGAGACACTGTTATTCTCGTCGTACCCTTTAGTGTTCTTATAAAAAAAAGATATCTAAAGTGATTAGAAAAAAATCAATCAATAAATTTGATTTGTAGTGGCCTAGCGGAATATTGAGTTATTGAATAGGAATTTAAAATTATTGTCCTTCTAGTTTTTCTTAAAAAAAAATTTATTCATGCAATCTAATAACTTATAGTAATGGTTTTAAAGGCAAATTGAATTTTTATTTATTAGAAGAGAATAAGGTGGCTTAAAAAAATTTCACATGGATGATGATGCAGAGGATAAGGTGGTTTCACCAAATCTTTTTAAATACAATTATTTATATTTTAATTTAACTAATTGAACCCGTGTTATGCGCGTGTTATTTTTATTATTATTAATATAATTTTTTGTTATAAAAAATTATTGATATGAATATAGCAAAAATTAATATATGTATATATTATACTTTATATATAAAGTTAAATTATATTATTAAATCATTTATATATTAAAAGCGAAGAAATGAAATAATATAAATATCACATTTATTAGATTATAAAATAATTTTGTATATATGCGTTAAATAATATATATATATATATATATTCTCAATATTTATTTTTATTCGATGTGTAAATAATAATAATAACAATAATACAGTTCTATTAAAAATTCTCTCCATAATTTTTTTCTCGGTTGAACAATTTTCAATTTTTAACTCTATTTTCACCAGTTTATTTTACGCTTAATCATTTTTTATATGTTTTATTCAATTTTAGCGCAAAAGTAAAACTAAAAAGAATATTATTAAATGTTATAATTATCGTTTATTTTAATAATAGTTAAATTTTTATATCTATGATAAAATTTATTGATTAAGTTGAATTTTCTATTTTTTTCTTATAGATAATGATGTGTCAAGTGATATAATACATAAATTATATAGATAGTAAAAAATGTTAGTTAATTTTTATAGTAATGAAATAAAAGTAATAGTGTGTTAGTCTATTCAATATTCACTCATTTTCAAAAAAAAAAACTTCTATATAAATATAGAAATTCTAAAACTTCTAAAAAATTAGATGGACTTTCAAAAAATTTTCATAAACCTATAACATCTTGAATTCTTGTTTGTTTGCCAAAATCTTGTATAGATTTTTTTTTTTACCCGTTTCATATCATGAACTCTGAGTTTCATTACCAAAACCTTCGTACGATGGATACGAAGAAGGAAAAACCAAAGCAAATGGCCATATTTACAACGCCCAAAATATCGCCATAGCCAACGACTCCCACCAAAACGTTGTTCTCCTCCTCCTCAGTGAACCATACATGTGTGGCCCTATGTGAAAGCATCTGAACCACGAATCGACAGGAAGGAAGAGCAAAAGATATAAAGGACCTTATAAAAAACGATACGTGGCGCAACAGGAAGGAAGGACGGTTAATCTCCCCGAATCGACACCGTAACTTAGTCTTTTTCGAGACAAACTGCTTCTCTCTCTCTCTCTCTCTCTCTCTCGTTTGAAACTGGTTTTTCATAAATCCGACG